GATGGTGCTGAAGGTCTCAAAGACTTGATCCCCATCAACAGGTACGTTATCCATGTATGTTCTGTCTCACTCAGTAGTGACCATATTGGTCTAAAGTGTTCAAAATTGGCACTGGTGGAATCTTAACCTGTTGCCTCCTGCCTGGTGTAATGGTCAGGTCATGGCAGAGCCAGTTTCTTTGAAGACTATGGAATAAGTGAAAATGCACCTGTTTTCAGCTCCTTTTACCTAGGATCACAAAACAAACTTGTGTGTGCATTAAATGCATAGAAAATAAACCTTTTCTGTGTTCAACAAGAAAACTGTTGCATAGTTTTCTTGTATTATTCTCAAGACTTTACAGAAGTGGTAACTGCAACTTATCAAAATTTTTTTTTGTATATTAATTAAAGTGTGCCTTTGCATGAATTAAAAGGCAAAGCATGAGTATAAACAAGTAATTTTTGCTGCTTATATGTAGTTAATTACTGGCATCAGTAATACAGTATCTGCATAAGGTAATAGCTTGGAGTCAAAACAAAAGATTAACAGTATTATGGTCACTGTTCCCGTAGCAGTTGTAGTATGTATCTGTCTGCTGTTTCAAGGAAGGAATTATATGTCATGTTATGGGAGATAAGTGCCATATCTGTGTTTTGTGTGTTCTGTATAGTTTGTGGAGTACAGTTGTTTGAATAGCTCTTCATTCAATTGCTGTTAAGTGCTCAGAGGCAAGGCTAGGAAAACTGCTTCTTTCCATGTCTCCCAAGTGACATCCAAGCAGCTGAGTAGCTGGAAGTTACGGCTATCAGTGCGCAAAGCAGTTGATACAAAGAATCAAACAAAAAAAATAAAATTCGCTTAAATGTAAGTTTTTCTCAGATCAGTTTTCACGTGCTAGCTGTCTTTGAAGTATCTGAGTCACTGAATCTCTTGATGTTTCAGAGTTATAAATCAAAAAAGGATTAAATATTACCTTTCCTGAAAGATACTTTCTGAGAGCATCCTAACTGCTCTTTAAAATGACAAAGCCAAGACACAAATGAAGATATATTTTGGCTCACTTGCTGAGTACACCTTTCATTCTCAGCTCAAGTGTGTAATTGTCTACATCAGTCTTGATTTACTTATGGAGACTTGTGGTACTAACTGCATGTATTTTATCTGTTAGGACGTAACAATTAAATCTACCCATATAGACCATTAAAAGTTAGATCAGAAAAGTAATGCTGAATGCTTCAATTTAGCAAATTAGAATAATCTGTAAGGGATTCTTAGCTGTCTAAAATAGAAAACATATTGTGCTTCACGAATGCACACTATATTAAACACTCAGCTTGGTTCCTGAATGTTGGTTGTTTTTTTTTTTTTTAAATCAAATTGTGCTCATTGCTGTTTTGGATGCAGAATTTCTTTCTAGGGTATTGCAATAAGTGGGAAATGGGCTTAGTATCTGAATGCATTCTTATATTAAGAAAGATTTAATTGTATGATATATGGCTTTCATACTGTACTTCTAGGATAACAATGTATTTATGTCAGTGACCGTGGACAACATAAAACAGATTTCTCAAAGGTCATGCTTTTATTTTCAAGATACCTTGGTGAAAAATGAAGGTAAAACCTGTATTTTCTGATTGTTTAGGCATACTAATGATGTTTAACTGAGGTGTGTAAGGAATATATTGACCAAATGGTCAATATGTTACTGTGTAGTTAAGTCAAACATGAGCTACTGCTGTTTCTGCCTCCAAAGTTTGACTTCTGGAGAAAGGTACAAGACCAGACTGGCCAACGGACTGATCTGGTCTAGCAAATAGTGTTTGTCCTCTCATTGCTTCAGCCATTTAGATATTTACACTTTTTAAAGAAAATAATGAAATTTTAGGTTAGTCTATCTTAATACAGTGTCTTATATTAAGTTCACAGCCTTTCAAAAACTGAATAGCTTCTTCAAACTTTGAAAGTTGCTAGTGGTAACAATAAATTACTGCTTTTTCTTTAAACTGGTGATTGAGGGCAAAAAAACCTCCTGACCTTCAGAAGAAATGCAGTACCAGAGTGTTCAATACTACAGCTTGTGTAAGTATACACTTCAGTAAAGTAACAGACAGAGCATGTATGAGAGAAACTTTTATTTAGGAGAATTTGGTATGGGATTTATTAGTTCAAATTCTAGACATACGTATTTTCTAAATATCTAATAATTTTGAGAGAAATCCCTATATTGATCACACTACTTGCAGAAAATACGGTAGTTATATTAAGGTGACTTGCCTAAATTCCTTGCCAGCTACGAGCTAGTCTCAGAAACGTTTCGTCCTGGTTGTTTCTGGATTGCTTTTTCCAACGTACACTAGAGGGCAATCTGTTTCTTCCCAGGGGAGACTGAAGCCCCAGTGTTGGCTAGTGGCAATTCATATTGGAATATAGAATTAGAAGCAAACTCTTGTACACGTTATTGCCTTGCTTGAATTTAATATGGATTCTTCTGCTGGTTTTGTCTGGGATAGAGTTAATTTTCTTCATAGTAGCCAGTATGGGGCTGTGTTTTGGATTTGTGCTGAAAACAGTGTTGATAATACGGGGATGTGTTTGTTATTGCTGAGCAGTGCTGACACAGAGTCAAGGCCTTTTCTGCCTCTCACCCCACCCCACCAGTGAGTAGGCTGGGGGTGCACACAGAGTTGGGAAGGAACACAGCCGGGACAGCTGACCCCCGCTGACCAAAGGGATATTCCATACCATATGATGTCATGCTGAGCATATAAAGCTCAGGGGGAATAAGGAAGTGGGGCGGATGTTCAGAGTGATGGTGTTTGTCTTCCCAAGTAACCATTACACCATGGAGCCCAGCTTTCCTGGAGATGGCTGAACGCCTGCCTGCCCATGGGGAGTGGTGAATGAATTCCTTGTTTTGCTTTGCCTGCATGCACGGTTTTTGCTTTACTTATTAAACTGTCTTTATCTCAGCCCACGAGTTTTCTCACTTTTACTCTTCTGATTCTTTCCCCTGACCCATTGCAGGGGAGTGAGCAAGTGGCTGTAGTGTGCCTAGTTGCCAGCTGGGGTTAAACCATGACAATTCTTTACCTAGCTGTCACTTCAGAAGCTTTGTAATCTGCAATTGTTTTGATTTTTAGTGTGGTAAGTAGGAGTTTTCTTCCTTGGTTTGAGTCTTGTCATAAGCCAGTCAGATAATCAAATTCTGACATGTCTCGGTTCCAGTAATGACACAGTCTGAAGCAATGACTGTCAGTATTTGTCAATTTGAATCATTGATCTTTTTCTGGAACTCAGAAGAATAATTGACCATCTGTGCCTGATAGCACAACATTGTATTACTGAACAAAAATACATGCATTTTTATGCTGTCCCTCTAGAACGTATCATATCTGCCTGCTAGACTCCAGAGCATGATGGTTAGTTTCTTAAACATGTAACAGACTGCTAGTCTAAGATAAGAGACTTTCATTCCTGTGTTAGCATAGATACATACAAGTATCTGTGGGGAAAACTGAGATACATATAATTTGACTTGGAGCAACGCTTGCAATGTTTTATAGTGTCTTCGGCTGTGTTTGCCAGGTTGGAAGTGCAAAATGCCAGGGGTGGTAGCTGTCTTACAGGCAGCTGTTTGAGAGAAAATTTAACAGTGACCTTTGTGTCCCTCCTTCTGACTAATCAGGTCAGGATATAAATCCAGATAACGAAACTGCTTAAGTTATGTTTCTGTAGCTGATGATACTGTCAACCTTGGGTGAGAAATTAGCTAACATTTTTTTGATTATGCTTTTTCCTGGCATGGATAAAATTGGGCCAGTAGGTTTGAAAACATAAGGTGCTCAGCCCGTAAGCTTAAAGCACACTGGATGGTGCGTAGCAAGGCTGGAAATAAAATACAGTTTGCGTGTCAGCCTCTAGGTGCAGTTTATCTTCAAATGCTTCAAAGCAATGCAGAGCTTTACAGAAAAATTAAGATAAATAACTTTTTAAAAAATTTTTTAAAAAGAGAGGAAAAAGTTAATTTCCTCACATATTTAAATAGTTCAGAAATCCTTTTTCCCAGAATATGGAGTGTGTTTTGGGGAAGGTTGAGGTTTTTGTTTTGGTTTTTAGAACTCTCTTAATCCATTATCCTGCCTTTTTTTTTTTTTTTTGCTGCTACAGAGGCAACCTAAGGTAACAAGAAGCCGTTTGTGTAATAGGTGAATGGTGAAATGTTACCAGGAGGGAAAGTGGGTATTCACCCCCCTGTAATGTTCGTCTTTCAGAAACTGGAGGTGTACTGGAAACCTGTTGCATCCTGTTAAGCCCTTCTCCATCCAGTTACTGCAGGACTGTTCTAGAGTGCGTTCTCCAGGATTTCTTCAATGTAGGGTTAACAGACTGGACAGATGAATTTTCCAGCCCCTCACTTGGGAGGCTGCTTGTTGCTTAATGCAGTAGATTTCAGTGCTAGGTGGCTTAACTTACCTTTTTTGGCCTGAATTTTCCATCTGCTTCTTTTCATCCCATCATTACTATTTGTAGTTCTTTGGGACCTGAACAATTTTAGTCTTCATGTTTTAGATTTCAGATAATTCTAGATTATCAAGTCTCCTTCTGCAGCCTTTTTATGAGATGAAATATGGCTGCTTTTGCACTGCATCCAGAACAGTAGCAGGAGGATGTTTTTCATCTGTTCTATAGCTTGCCAGTTTCCATAGGGATTTTGTCAGGTTTACACACCACATTCAGTGTGCCTGCAGCAAATAGCACTTTCATGGAAGAATTCCAGCAAAACCCAAATTGTCAGTGAAGTGCTGTTGATTGGTTAGTACGTACCCAGCTAGCAGTAGCATACACTTTACTATTACACGTAGATGGTTTTGGGTCACTAAAACAGAAGTCCATAATTTCCTTGGATGTTAAGATCCTCTGGTATTTTTTCAAAAGGGGGGGAATGATGGGATGGGAAGGTAATTCTCTAACCTGCCTAGCATCCGAATAAGATTAGGCTGCAGACCACAAATCACTCTGATTTCAAAACCTCTAAATAATGACTGCTTAACAGATTTAGAGCACATCACCCCAAAGATGGTGGTGTTTCCAACTGAGTCTTCTGTGTAAGATTATACACTGCTGCACATCTCTCTAGGTGAAGGAAGTTAGTTAACTCTTTAGCTAAAGTAATAATATAGCTTTGGAATACCTGAACTGTATTGATATTTTTGTGGGTTTTATGGAGGTTTAAGAATTCAAGGCAGTCAGATTTTTTTTTTTTATGGTGTTAACTGTTGATTGCATTGCATTAGTATTTCTGTCTATAGAAAATTTTAACTACCTATAAAACTCTGAAGGGTTATAACTAAGTAGTCAGGAGTGCATGCACCTTTTAATATTCCGGATACTTTGAGCATTTACTTGCATAATCCTCTCTTCCAAAGGATTACTATTTACATCCTGACATCGGAGAATGCATTTTTGTTGTGTTTTTACCTGATCAAAAATTCAGTGTAGTTTTCATATAGTATCTTTTCTGTGAAATTATTGAATGTCAACTTCTTGTATCACTCTAGGAGGTGGAAAAAAGAACGTTGGAAGGACAAAGAACATCAAATAGCTGAGGAACTTTCTGAAGAAAGTGACACTGAATTTGAAGAGGGTTTCAAAGTACCAGGATTTCTCTTCAAAAAGCTTTTTAAGTATGTATTGTGTACTTTGGTTTTAATATTATGCTGCTGTATGCTGTTAATGATAGTAGTAGTAACAGTTATGGTGATTTCTGGATGACATTTGCTGTAACTTTTACTTGTGAATGATACCTCAACTTCAGTTGTTTGTGTAGGATTATTTCTTTAAAAAAGGCTTCAGGTCAAAGCTCAAAGAAGATAATTTGTTACAAGCACAAAATGCAGTTCTATGAAAATACAGATAACAACTGGCTGATGTGAATACTGTATTAGCTAAACTACAAATCGAGAGGCTCTCCTTGTCTATTTTTAACTGCTTTCTTTTATTGATGAGTGCTTTCTTTTAAGGTTACAAGGTTTTGGCAAGTTGTGATAAACGAAAACAAGAAATGTAGGTGTTTCTGTGATTGGGTGGAGTGAGTGAAATTTTCTGCCAGCAAAAAATATAGACAACTTTTTCTTTAACTACTCAAAGTCTACTCAGAGTAACTACTTATAATTCATGTTATAAGGTAGTCTTGAACTTTTGGCTCAGTAAAGTTTTAAAATATGGAGAATGCATTCTTAATTCTTTTAGTAGATGGAAAACGTTCTACAACTCATTCTTTAGTTATTTAATGCTGGATTACAGATTTAGACATGGCTGCTTTCTGTTTCAGTTTGAGACCATGGTGCCCAGTGAGACTCAAAAGGCAGCCCAAACAAGGGAGCAGCTGACAAGTTAACTTCATCCATAATCTCTCCCTTAACTTTCATGCATAGTAGGCTTGAATTCATTTTTGTTGGCAACAAAAAACATCTTCATTTTTAAAAACTAACTCTCTAAAATCTTATAATTAGTGTAGTAGAAAGCCTTGGTTTATAACAGGTGTGTGTGGTATCCCTTCAAACAAGACCACTTAGTCTTAACCTCAGAGAAATTATTACTGTTGTCCTGCAGTTCCTCAGAAGGAAAGCACTAGCTCTGAAATGGAATTGAATTAATGGTTTGGTTGCCAGGACTGTACACAGCCAGTATGTGGTCTCCAGTTGTTTATGCAAAGATACTGCAGAAGTAATCATCCTGAGAACGGATGTGTGGTCTGAGCAACCTCAAGGGAATTGAAATAAGGCAGACAACTAAAAATTAATCTTAGAGATATCAGCCTCACTAATGAAGGGTATCCCTGCAAGCATGAGTCAGTTGGCAAAACTTCCGAAGTGGTTAGAAAGATCAATTGAGCTGAATGATTCGTCTGTCTTGCTGAAATCTCCAGTGTAGGAAGGCCCATAGTCAATAGGTATTTGAGTTCTGAGCAAGTTTAGTACAAACCACGGCAGTATATTGACCCAAGGAGGTGTATAGCAGTATACTGTAAGTGATCTTCCTGCATAGTTGAATTGAATTCTAAAGAAGTTAGCTGACACTAGAAGTAGTAGACGTTTAAGTTTGTTCTTTGGTAAACCTGTGAAAGTGGACAGTCTGTTTTTTCCTTATATACTTGTCTGCTTTGAGGAACATTCAGGAAGAATACCACTGGTGCTGCTGTGGAACAAAACCAAACATAGTGAGCAAGACTTACTTACAAACACTGCTTTATGCTGTCTGCACTTAACCTGAAAGAATGCTGTCTATATAACCAAGAAACCAAGTTTCTTCTTTATTTGCTTTCAGTGTGAGATTTCCCTGATACGTCTGAAATGCAGTTTTGTCTCAGTGACAATGCAGCTAAATTCTGCTAGCTACTGTGGTGAATTTTGAGGAATGCATCACAGCATGATTGTTCATATGAAATACACTCCAAACAACTATTTTGGAAGACCAGGCCACATTTTTATTTTACTTCTACAGTATGTTTGCAGTTAAAAAAAAAAAAGCCAAAAAACCCATAAAAATTGGTGCAATGAAATCATGAGATTAAAGGGAATTGATTATATCGCCATATAACTGTAAAAAGTTATTGGGGGGGGTTACTTTAACTTTTTCATAGGTGCAATTATTGCATTTTATTGCAATAATTATTGCAAAAGAAGCACCTGCATCTTTTCCATTTTTAGATAACCTTGGAGCAAAATTTTTCACAAACTTAATTCACTACTGTGAAATTTTCTCAGGAGAAATGCGGAGACAGAAAGATGCTTATAAATGCAGCTAGCTTTTAAGCACTGAATGTAATCCTAAGAAATAATAGAAAACAGTATCAGGAAGTTCTTGAATGGTTGTCTTCTGAAGAGGCATGCTGAACATCAGTGTTGGGGATGAGCTTCTGACTGGAATTAGGGTTCTCGCCAGTTCTTTAGTATTTCCATCAGAAAATGTTTTGTTTTCATAAAATGTAGTAATGGTAGCTCTTAACCCAATTATAGCTAATCTTGCAAGCCATTTCATAGTTGGTTTTTGCTACATTTTTTAAGGTGAATTAATTTCTAATAAAAGAGGGTTTTTAAGGGTTTCTTGGTATAATGCATTCGAGACACCAGCAGACAGTATGATTTCTGAACCATTAGATGTCTTCTTTGATCATCTTTTTCTAACTACTCAAGTCATTTGTTTGTCTTCCTTTAGCATTCTCTAAATCCTTACAGAACTCATCATAAATTGATTTTTAATAGTACTTTGTAGACACTGGTGTCATTAACTGTCAGCAGTCCTGAATGATCCTTGTTCAAAGAATGAAACAAGATTTTGAAATGCACACAAGATAATGCCCTAAAATGAACAATCCTTGTGTGTGTAAAAAAAAAAAAAAAAAAAAAAAAACAAAAAAAAACACCACAAAAAAAAAAAAAACACACACACAAAAAAAAAAAAACAAACCCAGTGTTTGCTCTTTGTGCTTTGCACACCAGGAATGCATGCCATCAAGAAAATGATATGAGTAACCTTGTTTTTCCTCTAAGTTACAAGGCACCGAAGTGCTGAAACATGTATTTTAGTTACTTTTTTTACTGTAATTTAAATACACTGTTTCTTAATTTCTTTCTGTTCTGTTCTCAATTTAACCCACACACACGGTGTCTTACTCCTACTGGTCTTACTTTTTCATATCATTATAAAAAAGCAAGTGATTCTTACTCCAGCATCTTACCTCCACCTTTTTAGCTTCCCATTGTAAATTTTGCTTTCTAGTCTACCTCTTTTAATTTGAATATTACATTGTTGCTTATACAATTTCCAGTGAATGGGAGTAGAAACTGCCTTGGTACTCTCACATAATAATGCTCTGCTGCATCCCGTTCACTGGAATAATTTCTATTGTTTTGCCTTCCAAAACATTTTGCCTTGTTGGCTTTTTTCTTCATTGAAGTAGGCTAAATGTTATTAAATGAATTTATGTAAAAAGAAAGCATACTTTGGCAGACGTGATCAGTTTTGAATGTGGGGTATAGTCTGTAGCCCTTAGAAGTCAAGCTTTTCCTTTAGTTCAAGGTATATATTCCAAATAATATAATTTACTAGACGCTTACATGTCATCTTTTCTGAAAAGATAATGCTGTGTTAGAGTAGCTTTCCAAGTTGCTTTTAACACTTAAAATATATGTGAAATAAAATACCCTCTAATTACCGTGACTATCAGTTTAATTAGAAATGTTTTAGTGTTGCATAAGGAATGAAAGTCACATGTAATGTCTGAGTGCATCAAAAATGTATGACCTAGTAAATATAGCATTCATGTAAAACACACATCCAGCGTGTTACTGTAACTAGTACAAGAACCTTGCCAAATGATTAATTCATGAGTACTTTCAGTTACGATCTGTATTATCAAACATGTGCCATCTTCTTTTTCCTTGTTTTAGGTACCAGCAGACAGGTGTTAGGTGGCTCTGGGAATTGCACTGCCAGCAGGCAGGAGGAATTCTGGGAGACGAGATGGGATTGGGCAAGACCATCCAGATAATTGCCTTCTTGGCAGGTCTGAGCTACAGCAAGATCAGGACTCGTGGTTCAAATTACAGGCAAGTGCTCCTCTGCAGACTGTCAGTCTGTGGAGCTCAATTAATATTTCATCAGATGTATTGCTGGTGGAGGAGGGTCCTGTGAATTATTGATGACATTTCAATTACAATAGTCCTTTAATTCTTTTAGTGGGGGACATCAAAGGAAAAATTTTACGAGACAATGGAGCTGTAGGGCAGGAAAAATTAAACATGTAACACTTTTAATGAATTCCAGGCATTGATGCTTCATTTTGCAGATGAGCCGCACTAGATATTTTGGGTCAATACAGTGTCTAAGGTTAGCTTCCACAAATGGATTGTTTACAAACTCAATTACATTAATATCAATAGTTTACACAGTATGGAATTTTAAATTAGATGTAATACCTTTAGTTCCATTTATTAAATTTTACATTAAAATATTTGTTCTGGCAAGCCACCAGGTAAATGCTTTACAGGAAGTAGCAAGCTGATTTGCAATGAAAGTTAGAGTTTCTGGTTGGCAAGGAATTACCCATGACAAAAAAATAGTAGCAATAGTAAAAACAGTAACTTATGCAGAGGAATCTCCATCTACTTTTTTTGCTGTTGTTGCTTTTTCAAAACTATGTTAGTGAACGGCCTTTCTTACAAGATCTTTTATGCTTTTTTGGTTACCAAACAATGCTTTAAAATTTCTTCTTCATAGGTGAAATTACCGGAAAACATTCTTGTTGGTGTCCTTGGATTTACAAATGCATGTGTGAATAATACTTGATTTTTCTAGCTCTGTTTGCCTGTGTACCTGATGTAAATTACTACGCGCAATTAAGCAAATATAGTACCGTACTAAACAAAAATAATTAACCTCATATAGAGGCATATTTAGATTCTGTTCAGTAAGTACATGAATTGTAAAATAGTACTTTAAAGAGAAAATACTACTTTCTTCTCTAGTTGCTTCCTACTGTAGCCTTTATATAAAAAACTCCGGGTCCTCCATTACTCAGGCCAGTTGATTTACTTTGATATGGCTGCCTGATTTAAGGAAGCTACTGTTCAGATTAATTTGTGTAGGTATATTGCCTGCCCTAGTTGGAGGACCACCGAGTTGATGGAAATCCTTCAGCCACGTCTCCTGACATTGTTACACAATTACAGCTTAAGTCCTAGAATACTGCAGTGAGACTACAATGAAACTTTGAAAAGGCCAAAATACAACCGCACGCCTAAGCTGCATGCAAAATAATGTGTTCAGTTTCATTTTTTGGATGGTGCATGTCATTAAGTCCATCATGATAGTAATTCCATGGGAGCAAACAAGGTTTAACTTTTTGGTGACACTCTCTGGTTTTGCTTGTGTGCTGTGAGGCAGGTGGTATAAACAACTTGATCTTTACATAGCCAAGTATTTTCCCCATCTACACTCTGAACTAGAAAGGCAGTAATGCCAGCTAGCTAGCTAATATCTGAAAACCATATAGTCTAGTATGCAGAAGACCCTCTGGTCAGTCTGGCTGAGAAGCAAACATTAAGAGTGAACATAGTTGTGTTGTCAGCATGTTTAAATATCTTCCAGCCTAGGTCATATCTCATTACCTTGATGTGTAGATGGAGCTAGCGTACTGCTGTATGAATCTGGCACTGCGGGCTTTCCCAGCCTCAGCTGGCCTTCTGTAGAATGGAGATAATACTGTCATCCCTGTGCAGAATTACAAAGATGTGTTTAGAGACACTCATGTAGTAAGACAATAGGGTCACTTTTGTTGATATTCAAAATATTCAGCTTTACTTTCTATCAGTGAAATTTTCTGCAAAAGTATTCTTTAAAATAAGATGAGTAGAAATTTCCTTTCGTAAACTGCTTCTGATTTCAGTGTTTTTCTGATGTTTGAAGGAGCCTGAAGACTAGCTGAAGTAAGGAACTACTTGTTACATGGAGTATAACTATTACAAAAATTAATATGTTGTCTCACTTTTAACAGTTATTGGGGAAAGCCAAAAGTCATGCGAGGTATCAGTAGAAGTGTTGCAGTTATGGTGGATGGTGTAGGGGAAGCAAGTAGAGGGGGAAAGGTCTCTTGTTAAGCTGAGAGAGTTGGAACAAGCAACAGCTTTCAGACCAATGGTCCCTTCACAAGAAAAAACAAAGCAGCAGCCAACTTCAAGTAACCCATCTCTAGCCTACAGGCTAGAAATCTGCTACTAGGTTGAAATCTGTTGTTGAAACCTGTTGAAGGGCTTGAGGGTCCACAAGTTTGCCTGTCTCCAAATATATTAATTTAACAAAGATGTTACCTTTCACTGCAGACTTTGCTTCATTTATTTGAGAGGTCAGATGAGAAATTCTGACATAAGGTTTATACGCTGATTATTTACTCATAGGTGCTCTTCAAGATACTGAGATACAATTGTACACGTTAAACAGTACATGTTAAACATTAAGGCTCAATCTCTACTATGAGTGGCAGAGAGATTAATTTCCATGGTACTTAGTAAATAAAAATCCATTGCCCTAGAAAATTTGTATTGCGCCTGCTGCCTTGTTGTTTTATTTTCACTAGGATTTAGTTGTCATTTCAGTTTCATTTTGAAGGCATGATTTGCCAGTGCTTGGCAGTAGAGTTGGTTGTAATGCAACATGTTTTCATCTGCTGATTTTTTGAGTACTTTAATATAGTATGCCTACAGCTTCCTTTTTCTTGGTAGTAAGTTGCAGGAATACTTCTTATTTGCAAATCTAATCACATCCAATTAAATAAGAACTAATAAAGGATACTTGCTGTGAATTTGGATTTTTATAAACCAGAAGCAACAGAAGAAGAAAGATATTTGAGTATACTGATGATATGTGATACTGACCATAAGCTACTAGTACAATGCTACTGTGGAAAAGGGACAGAATAGATTATGACAATATATTTGGGGTAGGAACGGGAAGGATTAGTATCCTGGTACAAGGTACCAGTAAGACTTTGGTTTGGAATGCTAATAGTGTTACCTTTTGTTCAAGGAAAACAAACATAAATTGGATGGGCAGCAGAGCGAATCTCTTGCAGTGATTAGGAGAATGAAGGATGCCTCCTAAGTGTTGCAAGCAGAAGTGCATGGTTTGTTTAGTTTTGTGAAACAGCAGAGACTTGAAGGTAGACGACTCTTTTATATAAATAAGTAAAAGCTCTCAAGAGGAGAATAAAATGTTGATTAGTGGAAAGTGGTTAGAGCCAGGCTAGACACAGAAGAGTTTTCACACAACCGAGTGGAGGGGGAATGGATTTTCTGAAAATTGATCAAAGGAAGTGTGAACCCCTTGTGTAACCTGAGGGGGGGAAAAAACACGAATAAACCCACCGTGTGAGCTTGATACAGACCAGGGGAATAAACAGGTAATTTGTTGCTACCCATGAAGAATGAGAAACTAATATGTTCTGGGAAAGTTGGCTTTTTTGCTATAGATATTTTTAAGAGCAGTACCAGTGGTTATATGGATTTGTAGCATAGTTGAAGCTAGTTTTTGTATCTCCAACATCTAACTTCCCCTTGGATTGCTGGAAGTTTTTTAATTAGACTATGTAAGGTTGTTACATAATATTTTTTCATAATGAAAGAGATAAGCAACATCCAGGTTGTTATTCTGCATATGTATAAGCTTTTAATAAAGAATATTATTTCTTAATGTCAGCAGTTTCTGAAGATATTAACAGTTTGGTTTTTTTAAAACAGGGTATTGCTGGTGTGTGGGAAATCCTTCTTTATTGCTCTGCATTCAAGATTACATGTGTATAATGTGATCTTTTGAATTGCTTATTTCTTACCACTTGAATAACATAGCTGGAGAGACACAGATGTGGTAACTGTAGCTATTGCCTTTTTTGCAGTCATTCTCTTCTGTTTTTAAAAGAGCAAATGTATTTGGAAAATAGGCACTAGTTAGTCACTAGTATATACTACTTAGGATGTTTCGTATAGGATTGTTGGTATTTGCTTGTGATGGTAATATTTCTTGTTTGGCTGTTGTGTGAGAGTTTTTTCTCTTCTTAACCTTAATAGTAGCTCTGAACTTAATATACAGAAAGACTGTTTCAAATACCCTCCATAATTCTCAGAAACAATCATATGATTATGAATAAGAAACTTAAGAGACAGTTTAAGCCCAGCTCAAACCTCAACTTCTATGGACGATATATACTGCTGCTTTGGAGTCCTTGTCTTATCTGTAAACTGTGGTGATAATAGTACAGTATATTACCAACATGAAGCCGAACACCTGTGTAAGTCCATTTGTAAGACTCTAGCTACACATTTTTTTTTAATAGAAGTAATAAAATAGTTGTTTATTAATGATTTCTTTTCTCTTATAGAAACAGCAGTAAACCTGATTTGTATTACTACAGGAGGAAGTTCCCTTATGCCTTATTGTTTGGAGCTTTTCTATTTCTGTTTTTATCTTGATATATGCATCCATTAACTGTTCAGTGGATAGGTTCTTACAGCAGTATCCCCTTCATCTTCCTTTAAAAAACAGACTTCCAGAAGAACAAAGTGCCAGTTAATTTCCATAGCACTCATATTCCACTTGAACTATAAAGTGTGTCATTTTAATATGTGTGTATTTTAATAAGCCACTTAACATGAAATAAATACTCAATATTAAAGGTTTTTTTTTTTCTTGAATGCTTTTATTTTAGGTACCAGGGATTGGGTCCAACAGTGATTGTTTGTCCAGCTACTGTGATGCATCAGTGGGTGAAAGAATTCCACACTTGGTGGCCTCCATTCAGAGTTGCCATTCTCCATGAAACTGGTTCTTATACCAACAGAAAGGTAATGGTTGCATCCATGTTGTAATTCCAGAAGCTTCTCTTATTTTTCTTTTGTTTTTGTGCTAGCAAGAAAAAAAAAAAATCCCCTGTTCCTGAATGTTTCTGTGCAAGCTAGTGTTCTTTCTCTGGTTGTTTTAGAAGAACCAAAAGTTCACTGTCTTGTATAGATTTGTTAGGGAACTGGAAAAAAAGGGGATGACACAGAGTACATTTATATTATGATATAGACTAGCATTACCTGAACAAATTAAACATAGTAACGGGTTTCTTGCTTGAGCTTTGCTTCTACTGTAGTCCATGCTAGAAGTTTATGACTAGACTGCTTGTACACCAGTTATATGCTTCTAGTACTGGTGAATTCTTTCCTCGCGCTTCTGTGCATCAGTATGTCATTGGTCTGATATTAAATAAGTTTTGCTTCCACAGGCAATTTCTCTTCAGTTGGTCAGTATGTCAGTTGCTATCACCTAGTCTCATTTTCTTTAATGACGGTGTTACTTTGGTTTTCTTTTCTCCAAACTGTGCCATTTCTGTCGTTTAATTTTCTGGGCCAGTCTCTTAATATGCATGTTCTTATTTCTTAAGTTGACAAGCCTAACTTGTCTGAAGCTTCAATCCTTGGTAACTTGCAGGAACACAAGGAAAACTTAGATTTTTGTTTTCCCTTGGCCTCATATTTCAGACGCTTAAATGGATTTTCAGGATTCAGCAAAGCATTTTTAAATTTCTCTTTCTAGAGAAAGAGAATTCTTTTTATTCAATTCTATTTATTGAATTTACTGTAATAACATTGAAATGATATGGTGCTTAATTGCACTTAATTAGACATATTCTGAGGTAATTGATGCAGTTACAGTACATAGCAAAAAAGGAATAGCATGCTCTAATGTGCTAATAGCTTTCTGTTTTCAATTAACTTGGTGTATACTGTTTTCAAGTCCTAAAAGCCTGTTGACCTCAATAACATGCTCACATCTTCCCAAATTAAACTGTGTGTACTTATTTTTGGGTATTTGTTAATTAATGCACTTGACAGACTGGCAAGTTGTCTTTATACTTGCAAGAAAAGTTTACTACTAATTTATTACCATAAATAACACTTGTACACTGAAAAGATATCACATAAAATACAGGCGAGGTGATTTACTCCTGTCTAGAATTACTTTTCAAGATACATTCTTTCTATGAATACGTTAGTGCTGATCTGATCTCGTGAGAATTCCATCTTCTGATAACGTATGGCATTACAGGAGACTGCTTTTGCATATGTTAACTTTCTAATACTCATCCAGGGACCATTCTGCCTTTATGCTCTGGCATAAGGCAAACTTAAATAAGAAATTGTGGTTAGAATGTGTAGGAACATATGTTTGTTCTTTGATTGAGAGTAATTTTACGTGGCCAAAAGCCAAGTCGCTGTGCACCTGTGGTCTCAGTGCTGCACTGACCTTTTTCAAATTAAACTGACAATTCCAGGATTTACCTGTTGTTCCATTAGTATATCACGGTTTATCATGTAGTAAATGAGAAGAGTTTTGGGCTGGACAACTAACTTGCCAGGAGACAGAATTGGGGAACTGAACATTGTTATCTGCTTTGAAGTGAGAAAGGTCACTTCAGCCTCTGGGCTAAGAGAAGTTAGAATGGTCTGGACTGATGGAAGAACATAACCGTCCCCCATATTAACTGAACATGAGACAGTGAAGATCTTAATGGGTTTTGAGGAATGCGTTATCCTGTAGTAGTTGGCCAGCAGGTTGTTCATGGTAAAACATGGTATTGCAGCTTGTTCTGCACAGGCCTGTGAAAAAGGGACAAATGATTTCTAAAAAACAGAGAAAGATTAATCTTAAAACTAATGAAGGAGAGTTGTGGAGGAAAAGAATTAAGCCATGGCAGGTGTCTGTAAGGCAAGACAGTATTTCATAGCAGAAAGAGACAACAGCTGAAGTTTCATTTGATAAAACTTAAGTTGATCTTTTAGGTGAGATGGATCTATGTAGTTATTACCACAACATTGTCAGGAATCGTGAAATATTAGCAAATAATAAACCTTTCAGCACTGGTGAAATTATATGCTTTTATGAATAGGTATCTTCTGTTGCAGCTTCTAAGGTACCCAAGCATCAATGCAAGATCTTGTCTCCCAGTTCTTTAGACTCGTCCACAGAAGTATTTCCTTGACAGTGAAGAGTGGGGAAGACGTCTGTTCAGATTGTTTTGTCATAAGTTGATACTAGGCAACACCTTTCACATCTTTTCCATTAGTGACACTTCTTTTAGTGTTACAAAAGGGCTTTTGAACAGTGTGGTAAGTGAAAGGCGCACCGACCATTACCTTGGCATATCCTCTCTTCCCAGTCCATTTTGGTTTCCTTTGCAAGCAACTTTAGGATTTTCCCCAATAATAGTATGAAATAACAGCTTGAATTGTGAGCACCAGATTGGCTGCAAATCTGGTCAGCCTGTTTCATGCAAGTCATTGAGACATCCTGCTTAGGTATCTCTGCTGCTATAGTATTTTTATAAGTTTTTAGCGTATGTGGTGCTTCAAAAGTGAGACCGCTTCATTTCTGTGCTGAAATAACAATGGTAGACAATTTTGTCAGTAAAGAAGTGTAAAGTTCCAGTTTCACCCCTTGAAATATGACTCATAGTTTAAAGGCCTTCAGCTATCCACAAGGGAAGGCAGATAGGTATTTTACACGATGGAAGGAAGACACAATAACAAGTTGGGTAAGTTTCCAAGACTTCAGAGCTAGTTTCAGGCTTTTGGATGAAGTATAAAACGTGCTTTTTTTAATTATTATTTGTGATCACAGAAGATCATTTGGTTCTTCTATGATGATAAATGTGCTTAAGTTGGAAGCAGTAGGGAGAAACAGATTTAAGTAGTAGTCTTCCTCTGTAAAGTCAGCTTTCAGTTTGAACAAGGTACAGCATTTGTGGTTAAATATGTCCTGTGGTGCTGTCTTATGCTATTAACCTCCTACTGTGGTTTATACTCAAATCTGATGTAGCTTAAAGTGACTGGTAAATATCAAGTGCTCTGAGACCTCTAAGCTTGAGAGAAAATAAAGTAGTAAATCTAATGTAGTGTATCATAAGTACTGTTTTATTTATGGTATAGAATAGAAGATAAGGGGAAGAAAGCTCTGTAAGTGTAGGAAAAAAAGCCTGCAGTACAAAGGTGGCTGTTTCAAAACTTCTGATGGCACTTGAGCATTTATAAATCCTAGAATGTAAAAGGAGACATGAACTTTGGTTACCTTGGTTTACCATATCACATATGGAAGGAGGCTGTATTTTTTTTTTAAGATCAAGGCTGAACTTTTAATTTCTTGATCTTTGGAACGGGTATCACTTAGCTTAACAATTCTTTCTGGTGGTAATCACATACCATTTGTAAAGCTGTAACTTTACATTCCCTTATTCTGGTCACACAATGCAGCCCTTGACAGCAATTGCCAGTTAATGATGCATGCACCTGTGGAACCATCTATTTGAAGATGACTTGCACACTGAAGATTTTAGACCTTCTACAATCACAGTAGAGTACACAATCTACATGAAAAGAAAATAAGCTGCAGAGGGTACACTTATTGGCATGACTGCGTATGGAACCTCTATTTTAGCCAAAGGCTTTATTTCTGAGTTAAGGACCAAACTTAGATAAACTTAGTATTGTGCCCCAAGAAGTAGCATTCTTGTTAAATATGTAGTAAGTGCTTTAGCTCTTTTTACTGCAACTTTTACATTATTAAACATTGTAATGTGTTCTTTTAAAGCCTCTTCATTGTGCCATTTAGATTTTGTTGGGGGCAGGGAAATAATAAAGAGGCTTTGTAGGTTGAATTTATGTATCTCTGGGCTTAATGGTTGGTTATGAGATAGTGATAAGCCTGCTGAAGAATGCATTTTTGATTCACTAGTGATATATGGTTGTGTAAGTGACTAGATATTATCTCTAAATTCACACTTACCTTAAAGGTATCTGAATGTTTAAAGAATCTCAAGGTTATCACTAGTCTAGTTCTTTAAGTTCAGTCTTAACAAACATATTTCTGTTTAAGAAAATTACCATTTTGAATACATAATATTATAGAAGAGTTCAGGTCCTCTTACATAGTTTTTAAAAGACTACGCTAAAAAAGGTAAACCTTATTTCTGTAAGCATCAGTCAAAAAAATTGTTGTGTTTTTGGAGCTTCAGAAACAACCTTGTAGCTACAGTGAGGTACCAACAGGAAAAAAACATGTGCTTAGTGGTGTGTCCCTAGAATAAATCAAAAAATGTTTTAGCTTTAAGAAACGGTTCTTGTCAAATATCTTCCAGTCTTTGTACATTGCATGTGTCCCAGTGAAGACAGGGCAACACAACCAACTTCTCACCCTAAGTTAGGAGAAAATACTGTCTTTTAATTATAAAGGCTTGAAATACTGTGCTGAACAGAACTACGAGATCAGAATCACTTGATCTACTTGCATGTTCCTCTTTTCATTACCATCTTTTAACAGTCAGAGTTCAGAATGTCCAAGCAAGGTAACTGCTGTGTAATGTTTTGGCATTAGTAGAATTTGTCTCTCAAGCAGATTTTTGGGGGTTCTTTTGTTTTTTGGGGGTTTGGCTTTGGGGTTTTTTTAGTTTAACAGTGCATGCCCTGAAATATTTCATTGAAGTTTATTTCCTGAGGGGCGGGTGGATTAAACATGCCTGAATCTAACCAAACAGGAATTGTGAATTAAAGAATACATCATAAAAATAGGATAAATTCTGAAATGCCACAGCCTCAAAACAGTGTGTATCCAGTATTAAACCCATGACCATGTATTAAAATCTTTAAAATTATTCCAAGAGCTGCAACTAAAGCAAAGGCAGCCTCTGAGAAAGTACCCAATGTAGTAAAATGAGAGTTAATAAGTGTTGTAGTCTGAGCTGATAAAATTGTGGTGTTGTATTTCTTCATTGTCAGCACAAATCCTTGTTTATTAAAAATTTAGCTTGAAGGAAATTTTAATTAATTACAGGTTCAGTAAATTCTGACTAGGATTCTGCCGTGTTGTGTTTACAGTGAATGGCCTTCATGTGCCTGTGTTTCACTTCTTCTTTTCTCTCTGCTACCTGACAATGTGATTTATGGCTGTTGTTTTCTACTAGTCCACTGTTTGCCCTCTAGGAGGGATTGGTCTCTTGAGCCTCCATAATAACAGCAGCACTTTCACAAAACATCTTTTAATGACAACAGTGTAACATTCTGTAAGTCAGGCTAATTGCAGACATACCCTATTAATTGCAAAAACTAGGAGAGGTTACATATTTCACAAGCTTTTAATTTGAAATCACCCGAGATGATTTGTCTTAAGTGTTTGGGTAAAGATGTCTAAAATACTCTATGATATGCCATTGCTGAGACTCTAGGACACTGTTGCAGACTGTGGGCAATGTACCAGGTAGAATTAAGCTTTGGATGTCCACACCTGCCTAGAAATCCTACTCTAACGCAAATTGTTCTAAAGGTTACATATTCTCTTGAGAATCATGTCAACATTAAATAATGTGTCATGGTTTTATCAGGAGATTATAATCAGGAAGTAGAAATTCTTGAGCAGTTAAACGCAGAAGAGCTTTTTGAATCTTGCAGTTTGTCTGAATAAGAAATTTTACAATAAGAAATCATGGACTTTCAATGCCATTTGAGTCTTCGAGATGGATTTTTCCCTTTTTGGTTTTGTTGGTTTTGTTTTTCTTCAAGGCACTTCTAGTAATAAGGAGTTTGTCTTTCCTTTAGCAAATTCTGTGGTGGTTTTACTTTTTTTCCTTTTACATTGGGTATGTTTGTTTCCTCCAGAATTGTGTGTCAGCCCATCATCTTCTGTTTAAGTGTTCTAGATTTATATGTGGAAGATAAATGCAAGAAAGATGAGTCTTGAATACAGTGAATGCTGTGGAAGGTGGTATAGACTGTCCCTGCCCTAAAAAATTTACAGCTATAAAGACTAGTAAAAACTTGGGGGAAGGATATAACTTACAAGAGAAGCACAAAATTTGAAGATTAATGACAAATAGATTAATATTGTTAATGAGAAAGGTTGGACGGAATTTAGTATTAACCAAACAGATTTTTGTGATTGTTTTTTCAGTTTTTCACTTGTTTATCTTCTAATGTTCTAGATCTTGCATGCAGTACAAAAAGCTGGGTTTGTGAGGGGAATATAGAAGAACTTGAAGAAACCAGTTAGTTTGAATAAATTTAATGTTTGGATTTTTTCAGACATTGCCCTTGGGATGGTGGGGGGAACACACAAAAAAACAACAACAAAAAAAAAACCCACTTGTTTCCTTCTGACCAGGCTTCATGTCCGATTCTGATCTGTTATAACACAGCATTTAAGTGCTTCATTCTGCTGAAGATGAGCTAAGAATCAGATAATCAAAATCTTGCCTATGCTTATTTTCTTTGCAAAATAAATTATATATCTGCTTTTTCAAAACTTTTTGAACATACGTTGGACAGCAAACCTATAGTTCAGGAGCTCTGAGTTTTATGTCTCACTGTTACTGACAATGTGCACCTTTTGCTTTTAGGTGAAACTAATTCATGAAATTGCCTCATGCCATGGAATTTTAATTACATCTTATTCATACATTCGACTGATGCAGGATAACATCCACAGTTATGACTGGCATTATGTGATTCTGGATGAGGGTCACAAAATCCGAAATCCAAATGCCGCAGTCACACTTGCATGCAAACAGGTACTTTATAAAAAACAAAGACTTTAAATGCTCTGGGGGGAGGTTCCAAAATCTAATAGCCTGTATCACTTTATCATAAAAAAACATGTTTAACCATTAATAAACAATAAAAGCATAAATCACTATGGTCTGTATTTGACTATTTAATTTACTTAACATTTTTACTGAGTTTCCATCAGTTAATTTACAGAAGTATAATAGAGAAAAAAAAATGAGAAACCTTAAATTTTGTAGTAATTTACCATTAGGGATAAATGTCAGATTGCTGGTGTTCATTTTCGGCTAACAGTTTCTGGACAATATATTGCAGAAAGCTGCTTATTTTGGGAATATAAGGCCACATATTTTAAAATGAGAATTCACTGATGATGAAATTGAATATCCTCTGAGGCAGGAGGCAGGTTATACCATGAACCATGAAAATAACTTTCTTTTGATTTTGTGTTTTTTATTAATAGTTCCGCACACCCCATCGAATCATCTTGTCTGGTTCCCCTATGCAAAATAACTTAAAGGAGCTTTGGTCCCTCTTTGACTTTGTATTCCCAGGGAAACTGGGAACACTACCTGTGTTCATGGAGCAATTTTCTGTTCCAATAACCATGGGAGGATATTCCAATGCCTCTCCTGTCCAGGTAAATGCATCAAAAATATCACCTTGCTTGAAGGAAACTGTTATGTTGTTTCTAAACTGACTTTTAAATGTACTTCAACCCGTATGTTCTAGACACTAACCCAAAAGTTGCATGTGTGTTTTACTGCTGCATGTGTGAAAAGAACTGTTCAACTAAATGAGATCATTTCATTTATACAGGGGTATAGCTTATACACAAGGTTTTCTTATCAAAAGTCCTAAAGTTTAAATCATTAGAAGTATTCTTTGATATAAAGTAAAGATAAGCAAATTGGGGTGGGAGGTGACTGATCTCATCTTTTGATGTATTTAAATGGAACTTTCCTGTTTGATACCAAGCTTTGGCAAATTATGCAATAGAGGAATCCTTAAATCCAAACTGAAAACTGTTTTAATTTAAAAAAGCTAAAGTAGGTATTGGAAGTCTGAAAATCAATAAACTGTTTCATTTTGAAAGCAAAAATTATTTGGAATAAGTATGTCTATTAATCTTTATAGTTGTGGTTCTCAGCATTCATGACTCCTTAAAGCATTTTTCAAATTAGCTGATAGATAAATTGCATAATAATTGGCAAAACTAAGTTTCATATAAATGCTAATAAATTTTTATTCTTTTAAATATCCTTTGTAATGTTTTGCACATATACATTTCTAACGTTTTATTTTCTTTTTGAGTTTAAGTATTTCCCTTGTCTAAAGCTTAGTAATTTACTAAATTGGACAGCCAATTTGTTTTTTACATATCAATAATTTATTATATTCTTTGTTTTACTTTAAGAGAAATGAAGGTATTTTTAGCCATTATGTACAGTTAATACCCATCTCACGCATCCATTACCCATTATAGAACCATATGCTCCATTTAAGACCAGAGTGACCTTTAGTTTCTGTGATCACAGGGATTTTCTTGTACCGATTTTTTTTTTTTTTTAAATAGTCTCAGGCGGACACTAATCTTCACTTATTGTCTAGTAACCACCATTGCTGCAGGCTTCTTTTTTGATCTTCAGTATATGTATTAGCAGTTTTTCATGGGGATGTTAGTTCTGTGCAAGTTTATACTCACTTGAATTACTTTCTAAAAAAATTATCTAATTTCTGGTCTCAAATTAATCTCCAATTTTTGGTCCACAAAATTAGGAGAGATAAATTAGTGGTATCTGCGGAAGACTTACTTATTCAGTGTTATTGTTGCTAACATGAATTTTATTGCAGTTCATGTTACATTGAATATGTAACTGCAGATCCACACAAATCATAAACCATCTCATTTTATTAGGATTTTCCTATTACTAATTATAGAATTGTGCTTGTTGCTAAAATTAATATCGAGAACCAAAATACAACTTTTTCCTCCTTTCTCAGGTAAAAACTGCATACAAATGTGCCTGTGTGTTACGGGACGCCATAAACCCCTACTTGCTGCGAAGAATGAAGGCTGATGTAAAAATGAGCGTTTCACTTCCAGATAAAAATGAACAGGTTTGCTTATCTTTACTATCAGGTCTAAGCCCTCTCCCTCCTCAAAATCCAATCTTTCATGGACTTTGGAAATAATTTGTGCTAATGTCAGATGAAATGCTGTTTTAACTAAAGATAAGATGTAGAGCTTTCAAGTTGCAAATTCTTTTCACTTGTGTTCTGAGTATTAAATGATCTTAGTCTTGCAGGGTCTATACAAGTACACTCACATGTAAAAAACAAAGGGTATATGAAGTGTAGTCAGGTCTGCTTAATACTGTCTGCCTAGGTCACAGGTGCATACACATGAGTTGTCTGTGGGGTCTTTCCTATGGTGCATCTCTTGGACACTTTAACGTTGTTTCCTGCTGTATAAAGGTTAATTTGGGCAGCAAATAGTAGAGAAATAGTTGATGGCAGTTGTTCATATTGCAAGCTAACTTGTACGTTCTAATAAGTTTCCAAAATAGTAACCTTTTGATGTAAAACTTTTTTGCTCTACAAAGAGGTGGGATATTTTTTAGGAAACATTTTGATTCAAAGTAGAGGAGATTGGAAGGATTATTTAAGTGACTGAACTTCCTACAAATATTTGCTTGTAGTAATTATTAGATTCTTCTGTCACTCAGATTTCAGTGCTTCAGGCTTTCTTGTCCTCTCCTCACGCCTTCCTGTCTTCTCCCCTGACACACTAGTCCTTGTAAGATAGTGCGGAAAGGTACGTAATGAATGAGTTGGCCAAACTTGGTTTCTGCTGTGCAGTCTAATGATCTTTTTTAATCAAATTTTGAATTTCTATATGCTTTAAAGAGTCTGGGCTACTTAATCCAAATAATGCCATCATAAACAGATTAAATAAACTTGAATTTTTTTCTTGTCAATCACAGGGTGCTACATAAGTTTCACTTACGGGGTAATGTTGGGTGCCTTGCGGGATGCGAGGAAGTGATTTTGTTCCATTTTAGCTCATCAGACCCTTTGAAGAATCATTATTTGCTCACACTCAAAGGCTAATGACAGAACAGATTACGTGTGCTAACCTTCCCATGAGGTACCAGGAATTTGCAAGTTGTAAGGGACATAACAGACACACAACGGGAAGCGTTTCCTATAAACACAGCTTTGAGGGAATGCTAATATTGCACAGTTACCTCATTAAAACTGGAAAATGGCAGCATTTCCAAAGCTAAAGAAATTTGAGGGGAAAAAATAACAACTGGGAAAGGGCACAGAAAAATTCATTAAAGCCTTCTTAATGATTATGTTAATTCTTTAAAAATTCTAAGTTTTTTATTTCTAATGATTTCTATGCAGTTTCTTTTTTAACTTAGTATTTCAGTATGTCAGACATCTGTGAAGCTTCATTGTAGCACATTGTAAAACCTTAAAATTCACTCTATTTGGAGTTTACAGGTTGGGCTTGAGTGGTTCATTTGTTTGTTTTTGTAGGTCCTCTTTTGCCGTTTGACAAATGAGCAGCGTCAAGTCTATCAAAATTTCATCAACTCTAAAGAGGTTTACCAGATTCTCAATGGAGATATGCAGGTTGGCATTAATTAATGTTAATGACAGGTAGACTTTGATGGATAAAGTCATGGACTGACCTTTGCATTCTTCTAACTGGATTCTGAGCAGAAAGGGAAAAAAACACACTGATCTTAGTTCTGCTTTTGTGGATGTCTGCTTTTTTTCTCAGAAATGTTCCGTGGAATATGTAGAGTTAGTGACCATACGTAGTGGCGTGACCAGATAAAAGTAGGAATGGAATGGGCTTTGTAATATATTTATGATCTTGGGAACAAATTATGGCTTGTTGGATGACCTCCTATAGGTAACTGTATGCATACTTTTATCCAATTGCAAAAGTGAAGCAAAGGAAGAGTAATTTGTCCTGAGAGTACAGTTCAGTTATGATAACATCATGATGCAACAGTTGATGACTTCAGAGTCTTAACATATAGCACAGCAAATAGGAAGCATCCATGTTATTGTCTTACTAGTCACTTCAACTTCCTTTGCTTCCATCCTCCCAATGTAAGCGTCGATATTGCTGTGGCCAGGATGACAGCAGTGATTGTAATACAGTTTCAAATGTCTGCTGTATTCCCTGTGAGCAATGCACACATTGGTCCATTGGACTTTTGTATACGTGCAGTGGATGTTTTTCACTCCCATTTTAGCTCCAGGATATGGATCTATTGTTTGTTAGAGGAGAAGTCTTGGTTATAATGTGTAATTTACTACATGTTTCCTTGTCTTGTGAACTGTGAAATCACTTCTCCTCTCACTCCCAGTGGCTCCAGTTAGTTGTATGGTCAGTACAGCCATGTATATTGCAGTGCCATACCAAGCAGATGTTTTGATATTTTTATTTTTCTGGATCTTGCAAAGGTATAGTGGACAAGTTTTTTCAAGCTCCTAGCCATTTTAGTTATCCCAATGAAAATTATTTTAAGGAACTCGATCTTCAAAAGGTGGCTTGTACAGGACTATCTGCAGAAATTTCTCTAAGGTGTTACAGAATAGGCTGTCATATTTGCTGGAGTTCTAAAAATGTTGAACAATAAATGTCAGCGCTTTTATTAGATGTTTTGTGATGACAGCAGCGAATCCCAGCTGAAAAACAAAAACCCCATTGTACAAACAAATCATAAATTATGAGCAGGCTCATCCAACTTGTAGTGATAGAAGATTGAGGGATTTGCTGTTTCAAGATAGTTCATTTTTATGAGTGCCCATTGTGTCAGAAGACTAAGGAACACTTGTAATATTATTGAATGAGTAACTGAACAGAACCCTTCTAACATGGCATCAAAAGTGGTAATTTTCAGTTTCATGTGTTTGTTAAATATGTTTATTCATCTGTTCTTTGTTACCATGCTTTCTGGAGGATATATTTGTTATCCTCAAGGTCTGTCTTAAGTTACCTGCTAGCATGGTGGGGGTTGGAAGGAAGGACACAATAATTTCAAGTAACAAACTCAGTGTAATTTTTATTTTTGAGTACAAAAAATTTGACTGCGAATTACAGCTGGGGACTGCTTTTGCTAATGTGGAAATTGTTGCAGAATTCTCTTAACATTGTCACCAGAACATAAAATTTCATTGACCTTCTCTTGTACTGATTTTTCCTAAAACTTTCCATGAAATGAGTATTAGCATCCATTGGCTTCTCTGAAGAGCAAACCACTATAAAAAACAAATTTCTTGATGATGACTGAATCAATCCATTGCTCTTTGTTTTTTTTCTCAACCACAACCCATATAGATACAAGTATTTGTCAAGAAAATAAAACTATTTTTCTCATATGTTCTTTAGATTTTCTCAGGACTAGTAGCTTTGAGAAAGATTTGCAACCACCCTGACCTCTTCTCTGGTGGTCCCAGGATTTTGAAGGGTGTACCAGATGCTGAAGTGGAGGAACAAGATCAATTTGGATATTGGAAGCGTTCTGGAAAAATGATAGTGGTAGAATCCTTGCTGAAAATATGGCACAAGCAAGGTCACAGAGTGTTGTTTTTTACTCAGTCAAGACAGGTAAGATGAGCTCATTTGTTTTTAGTTTTTGTTAAAACTAAAAAGGTGCATGTGTGTGTGTCCCAGTAAGACTTGTAATTAGAACCACCTTCTGTAGTGTCCTTCTCAGATAATTAACATTTATTTAAGGGGGGGGAAAAAAAAAAAAAACAAACCCACACACAAACCAAAATGACTACTGTCTTTGGAATAATTGGAGACCAGTTACTAAGCTCAGTAAGCTTTACTGGAATGACACAGTGTTGTAGCAGTGTTGCCCAAATTCAATATACTGGGTCAAAGCTTGTATCAGTTGTACGCATATAATACCAGGGTGAAGCAGTGGTGATGTATTTATTGTACCTACTATGTAGCTTCAGGATAGAATTGGTAGTCAGTTTGCTTGCTCTCTTTAGTGCATGTGCACATCTAATCCTCAGAACTGTGTGCTTTGGGCCAGTAGCATGGACAGTGACCTTAATTTGTTTTCCCTATGTATTCACAATTTTGTCTTGCTTCTATGGATTCCCTTGGAATGCTGCACCATTTACCTGGTTAATGGTCTTGAGACCATTAGTCTCAAGAAGTTTTGGACTTTCCAAACCAAGCATAAACATTCTACTCGTGCATTCAGCAGTGAAATAACTTTTTTTTTCCCAATTACCTAAGTTAATTAATTTTCTGCTCATTTAAGATTCAGAAATATTTGGTTGTCATCTTGTTTGTTTGACTGGCACTGCAGTTAGTACCAGAAGTTCTTATGACTTGATCAGTCAGTTGCTCAGTCTTCATGTCTGGATTTCATTAAATTTTTTCCATCACAACAGATGCTGCAGATACTTGAAGTCTTTGTAAGAGACAGAAACTATTCCTACCTCAGGATGGATGGGACCACAACAATAGCTTCCAGACAGCCCCTTATAACAAGATATAATGAGGTGAGATGTTGCATCCCACACACTAGTGCCTATTAGTGAGTATGGCTGAGTTCTTGCATTCCTTTTTGGTCTCTTTATAAATATACTACTTCAGGTTTAAGACACAGAAATGGGGAGTTCAGGCAAATGAAACCACTTCCTTTGTGAGAGGGGGGAAAAAAGCCATCGCTTTCACACTTAAGTTGGGTTTTCTGCTAAGAAAAAAACATAGTTGGAAACAGGGAAAGA